GAATTCAGAGTGCTTTACAGACATTTTCTTCATTTTTTCTTAAGGTTTTTTTCTTTCTCCTGAACATGTTTTATGCTCGACTATAAATTTTTCATTCAGTTTTTCTCACTGATTTTTTTCTGAAATATTTCCTGTTAACCTCATTTCCTCCCACTCTGTATATCTAATATGATACACTAACGCCAGTTCAGACACCCTAGAAAAGAATTCAAGATTTTTCCTTTCGGAATCTCAGGCTTCTCTTTCTCTATTTACTTTTACAAACTTTCCCATATTTAATACTTTCACCATACTTTTTTCCCCTTGAAAGAAGAATTGCTTGAAATATACCTTGTTCTTCCACATAAATAGCCCCTATTTTATTTAATTTTAGTTGTTTACTTATTTCTAACTGTCTTGCTTCACAAGAAGTTGAAGTAATTAATTTGTGGGAACTAAACACATTCTTTAACATAAGCACTGTGTAGTGGCATTGCAAATCTGATATTCATAGCAAAGTTGTGTTGGTTTTTTTGCAAACCTGTTTCTCCTTTCAGTCCTGAAGGAATTGGTTAACTTTCTTTCTCACTGTAATCATCCTTGAAGAAACAAAGAAAAAAAGAATCAAGACTTTAAGACAAGCTAATCTTTTGTAGAATCAGATCAGATACTTCCCTCCCTTTAGGAAATAACCACTAAGAACACCTTTTTACTGGGCTCTCATCAGATGGAAATGTAGTAGGGAGCCTGTGTCTTAAAGACCATGAAATTATGTAGAAGACACCTAGCAATCACTCCCTATTTTACAGATGTGGAAACTGAGGCTCAGAGAATTACAGATATTTGTCTGCAGTCACAGAAATACTTAGAGACACATTCAGAAGTTAGTTTAGGAAGGACTCCCCTGGCGGTCCAGGGGTTAAGATTCTGTGGTCCCAATGCAGGGGGCGTGGGTTCGATCCCTGGTCGGGGAACTAAGATCCCACATGCCTTGGGGTGAGGCAAAAACAAAAGCAACAACAACAAAAGAAAACTATCCCACATATATTAAAAGGATAAAAAATGAATAAAAAAAAGAATTTCGTTTAGGAGACAAAACATCTAAAAAGTCACTAAATAAGGTAGTAAAGAGCATGAAATAATGAATGATTTGGTTTTTCTGGGCAGTGGTGAGCTGGTAAGTGTTTAACTGCTGAGCGCAGGGGTGGGCAGGGGCAGCCCTGATTTCATGGTGCCCAGACCAGTTTCAAACTACCAACCTGAATGCATAAATCTGGGAACAGATTTATACCATCTAGCTGGCTGTCAAGAGTAACAGAGATCTTCTGGCTGGAGCGGGGAGCAGGTCTCTAAGGAAGAGAACTAAGCTAGACCAGTTCTCTCCACACATGAAGGACCATCCTTGGTCTTTCCGTGGGGCAGCTGCAGGACTCTGCAACTTTGCTCTTGCCTCAGCAGACAAACCACTCTTCATCTACTGAGCTATCACTTCCATTTCAAGGCCCAGCTTCAAAAAGGGTCCCAGTCAAGCTTTTCCCTGACCCTTTCAGAAATAGTCACTTCTACTCTGAATCCGAGTAATTTTTTAGACCTTTTATTAGGGTAATTACCAAAGCCTGACTTGATATTACTGTCAATAGACAGTGTCTTTCCCCAGGGGACTGTCCTTGGAGGACAGGGACCGTGTCTTACTCCTTCATTATTATCCGAGAAGCAATGCAGGATGGTGGGTGGGAGCCCAAGCTCTGGAGCCAGACTGGTCAGCTTCAGATCTGAGACACTGTGCTCGCTTACCTTGAGACCATGAGCAAGTCATCAGACCCCTCTGTTCACACCTGCAAAGTGAGACGTTAAACAGCAGCCTTCATCTCACACGCTCGCTCTGACGATGCAGGAGATTCCTGGATGTGTTTGGTGCTCAGCACACACTAAGCCCTTAGTAAATGTTGCCTGGTATTGTTTTCTCTAGCACACAGCCCAGCGCCTGGCACAGAGCTGATGTGCAGTTGATGTTGGTTGCATTACGTCGAAGTGAAGCAAGGATGTGATCCAGCTATCTTGACAGGAAGTTAAGAAAGAGTGCTGGAGGAGACCTCACGCACAGATTATTGCTGGGGAAATGAGGATGAGATAGTAAATAAAAATCAGTTGATCATAGGATTATAGGATCAGAACCAAGCTTTCCAGCTGTGGTATGATGAGCGCAGAGCAGGGTGGGATCATGCATACCCTCCCCTCCCTCGGTGAGCTGGACACCGTAAGTTTGTAAATATACCATTTGTCATTGCAATCGCTTGTGTAGACTGCTGTTCCTTGAAATATCTCCTTTTCAGTATTGTGCAGTTGCTTTTAAAAAATCTAAGTGCTAGACGTTAAGTATAAATACTGTTGAATTTTATTCCATTTCGTTCAGTCCATTATTCCAGTGAATTCATACGGCTTCCATCCTTGATTCTGCACTGCAATGTATCTTCTATCCTTTCTGGTTTGGGTTACCTGCAGTTTGGTGAGCATGACTTCTGTTTTGTTTTCTGAAGCACTATACAGGCCACTTCTAAAAACAGCATCCCCGACATGGCACTAGAGACCTTTTTCTGTGTTGGCATTAATTCGTTAAACAATCTTTTTTTTTTTTTTTTTTGGATATGGATTTTAGACTCCTTTCAAATCCATCAGGTATACAAGAATCTATATTATATCCCCTCTTGTTCACAAGTTTCATGAAAAAACTTTGCCAACATGCTATGTGTGCAGCATTTTTGTTTCACAGATACAGTGAGACTATCAGAAAAGAAAATACAGCCAGCTTGTTGAAACCTGTTCCTGATTAACCTATGTTAACTTCCAAAACCGACAACTTCCTTTTCCGACTTTAATAAAGGCTGCGTGTTTCAAAATAGTGAAGTTAACTGTATCAGGGTAGATGAGGCTCAGTGCACAAATCTTGACCATCTAGGTGAGAAGTTTGGACACAGTCCTGAGGGTGGTGGGAAGTTGTTGAAATTTTTTAATAGAAATTATATGATGAAATGATGTTTTCAGAAGAGCCGTCTGGCAGCAGTGTCCACGGTGGACTCTAGGGGAAACCTTATGTGAAGTTTGCAGTTGCCTGCAGTAATCCCAAGATGGGCTGCTGGACGACTGGGCTAAGCTAGTAGCAGTAAAGATGGAAGAGCGTACATTTGGATTAAAGAAAAACACTCAGAGAGACACTGGGGGAACATGATAGCAGTGAAAGAAATAAAAATAGGTACCTTAGGGCTTCCCAATCCTTTTCACATAAGGGAACATGCAGAAAAAACTAGGGCCGCTTGGAGATGGACATGACCCAATGTCATGGGCTCCCACGGCTGGGTCTTCCCTTCCCCAAGCCCCACCTCCCCCAAATCACAGGCAGAAGACATTAAGCTCTCCACAGGGCTGGGAAGCTATTTGGACATTTTTGTTTTAGAAATGAGTAGTCTTAGTAATATGAAGAAAAATAGACTTGTACCAAAATCAGAACCAACAGTACGGAAGAGACTATACATGTAAAGGGAAGCAGATGTTTGCTTCAGTGCATAATTCCGAACACAGAAGTCACATATGGCTACACGCTTGGAAGAAAACTAGCATCAGGGTTAATGCCAAACCAAAGAGCCCAGGCCACCGAGCCACTGCCCGTGTTATAGTGACACGTGAGAACAGAGGCGGTGGCTGTACAGGCCTAATTTGGGCATGAAAGTAGGCAACACCTACCAGACAGGTTGGGGGGAGGTACAAACCACACCAGGGGAGGCACGAGGTAGAGACTTAGGTGTAGACGAAAGCAGTAGCAAAGGAGTGAACTTCGGTTTTGTATTAATACGGAAATCGAAGCCACTTGCTTGAAGATTCATGACATACTGCCCATTTGTTGCTCCTTGTTGGTTTTCGTAGTTCATAAATTAAGTCGTTTCGTAGTCCTGGTGCCTCACCTGTGCTACTAATTCGTTGTGCTGCATAGAGGAGAGAACATGCAGGGACTTGCCATCTATAATTCCTGGTGATAACTGAAGATGTTTGGTTATAGAAAGTTAAAAGGCGTTCCCTCTTTTTTCGATAAACTCGGTGGCAGAGCGAGAGCAAGAACCTACCAACAAGGCGTGCAGATTCTATTATAAAAACAGGAACGAAGGGCTCTTTTAAAAAACAATGGAACCCACACATTTCTCCCGATGATTGGCAGCAGGGCCACCATGTGCGTGATGCCAGGGGCACCCGCCTTTCACACTGGAGTCCGTGAACTGGAGGCACACGGCCCATGTGGCCACGTGTAGCAGCTCACAGAGAGACCTATCTGATCACCCCCCGGGGCGCCCACCCAGCCCAGCAGGTGCGTATCCACGCTGACCTGTGACGTCCATCACCCCCTCGACCACACTCCCTTCCCCAGCCAAGCTGTGCTGTATTCTTTCATCCTGACTCACCATTTTATTCCAATTCAGATCCACCCAGTCCTCCCTGTGGCTTCCCACTAGACCTCTGGCACAAGCCAGAGCACATCCTTCCGGCTCACTTGCTCCAGTCACTCTGTTGACCTTTCCAAAGCTATTTGCTGCTCTCACCGTCCTGCTCTCTGTTACAGCTGAGGAGAAAACACCAATAGGCACTCAAGGCAGGAGGCTCTGGCCTCCTCCCAGCACTGGGACAGGCTTCAGATTTAGCACTTATCACACGGTGCTGTAAACATTTGCTTACATTTCTGACTCCTTCACTCAGTGTGAACTTGACAGAGGGCAGAAAGATGCTTCTTTAAGCCACGAGGTTTAGCAGAGTGCCGGGCACGTGTTTGGTAAGTGGGGGGGGTAGATGAAGAGCCTACCTTTCTGAGATCTGGACACAGTAAGTCTCATCCTGAGCATGTGGTCTGAGGAGGATTCGTCTCTATTATGGACAATGCCTGCATCTTTGGACTTCGTTTAACAGCTTCCCAGGGGAGGCCAGGAGAAGCAGCTCTGTCTCCGCCAGTGGTTTCTGAGTCCTTGTTTATCCCTGTGCAGGTGGGCAAGTGGAAAGACAAGTCTCTGCAGATGAAGTACTACGTGTGGCCCCGAATGTGTCCTGAGACGGAAGAGCAGGAAGATGACCATCTGAGCATCGTAACGCTGGAGGAGGCCCCGTTCGTCATTGTGGAAAGCGTGGACCCCCTGAGTGGAACTTGCATGCGGAACACGGTGCCCTGTCAGAAGCGCATCATCTCTGAGTACGTGGCCTGGGAAAGTCCGATTTGCCCTAGCTGTCAGCACCCGGCAAGGATCCGAGGCACAGAACGAATTGGACACCATGTCTGAATTTCGTTACAGTTGAGCAGTGGAGTTTCTGGCAGCCCTGTGGTCTGGCATCTGGTTCTGTCCGGATCATGACCCGGGAGAATTACTGCTAACTATGTTATCGTTTCTGGGGCCTCGCGAGGTCTCAGTGACCGGGACCTCAAGTTCGTGGAGATTTAAGTTTACATTGGTGTTGAAAGATGTTTTCTGAGGCCAGCATGTCTTTAGAACCATTTTTGGAAATAGATAATATTAATCTATGCTGATAGAAATCAGGTTAATGGTTCCTTTTGGTGAGGGTGGGAAGGGCCTGCAAGGGAGAACAAGAGGCCTCTAAGGTGCTGGTAACACTTCTGTATCTGAATTTGGGTTCTGGTTAAATGGGTGGGTTCAGTGTATGAAAATTCATCCAGCTGAACCCTTAGGATATGTGCACTTTCCTGATATATGTTATACTTCCAAGGAGCATTTAAAAGTATGAGAAAACATGGTCCAGTATGATGAGGTAATGAGATTATGGCAGTTCTGTGGTCTGATTTATGTCCTCACCTGGGCCTGACATAACTTGTGCTGAGCTGTGAAGGAGGGCCTGCTTTGTGGTTGGCAAGGGTAATATTTTGCCTCTTGTATAAAAGCCTTGTTTTTGTTTTTTGTTTCTTTACCTGGTTAGAAATAAAACAGACGAGGAGCCAGGTTACATCAAAAAATGCTGCAAGGGCTTCTGTATTGACATCCTTAAGAAAATTTCTAAATCTGTGAAGTTCACCTATGACCTTTATCTGGTGACCAATGGCAAGCATGGGAAGAAAATCAATGGAACCTGGAATGGTATGATTGGAGAGGTACGTGTCAGGAATTAAGGGCCATGTCCGTGTTTCATTTAAATATTTTTAAAACGCTCATTTTATAAATTTTAGAAAATATAAAATAGTACAGCTGACTCTTGAACACCATGGGTTGAACTATGTGGGCCATTTGTGAGCAGGTTTTTCTCAGTAAATATATGGTCGGCCCTCCTTACCTGTGGGTTTTGCATCTGTGGATTCAGCCAACCGTGGATCCTGTACTGTGTCTACAGTCTTCAGTTGGTGGAATCCGCGGGTAAGAAGGGCTGACTTTGGGACTTAAGCATCCTCAGGTGTTGGTGTCCACGGCGGGTCCAGGAACCAATACCGAGGGAAGATACCAAAGGAAGGCTATAAATGAAATGTACTGTTCCCACTCTACAAAGGAAAGCACTGTAGAGCCCCAAATATTTTCTGCATGGTGGCCCCTTGCCTTCCTGGATGCCCTAACTGGAGCCTTGTGTCTTTCTCCCCAGGTGGTCATGAAGAGGGCCTACATGGCAGTGGGGTCGCTGACCATCAACGAGGAGCGATCGGAGGTGGTCGACTTCTCCGTGCCCTTCATAGAGACTGGCATCAGTGTCATGGTGTCACGCAGCAATGGGACCGTCTCACCTTCTGCCTTCTTAGGTGAGTGATGGGCTTGCAGGCGTGAAGGACATGGACCCAGGGACAGGTAGAGGGAAGGAGGAACAGGTGCAGGAGCTGATTTTTCAGGAGCTTCCCTCAGCCAGGGATTTCACTTTGGGGAACCTCAGAATTGATCGTTCTCCAGCATGAAAACTGAAGAATACCCTCGAAAATAGGAAGGCATGGTACCCGGTAAGAAAACAGTACAGGACCGGTAACCAGGGGTCCTACTGGAGTCTCACTCCTGCATTTGACCTTGAACAAACTTGCTCCATCCTGGGATCCAGTCTCGTCATCCACAGAAGAAGGCATTTCAACTAGCTGATCTCTGAAGCTGCTTCCTGCTTTAATGATGTCTAATTCTGGATATCATTCAAATACCTGTTTGTTTCAAATTAGCTTCAAGAGCGGAGCTCAGTGCTACCAAAAAAGAAAAAAAGGTTTTTCTGTTTTCACGTGAATTTTTGGAGGCTTTGCCAGGTAAAGCTGCTCCGATTCTCCCTCCCACCGACCCCATCCTTCCCCATAGAACCTGTTCCTCGCTCTCCAGCATTACTTATGTGTCAAAGCCTTCCGTATGATATAAGACTGGGTGAGATGAGGCCAAGATTTCAATTAGATGAGGTCTTTTGTGAGCTCATAACCCCATATTTTTGGCAGGGGCTGTGAGATCAAAGGGATTGGAAAATAAAATGTCACCTTGAAAACAGGCCACTGGGCTAGGAGATAGGAAGCTGGTTTGGTCATAAACAAGCTGAAAGCCCTTGGACCAGTCACAGTCTCTCTAAAGGATACCAACACTTTTTTTTTATTGAACACTTACTATGTGAAGGCCCAGGCATCGTTGTACAAACTTTGATTATATTACTTCATTGACACTACCATAATACCCAGTTTATGGCTTAGGAAACTAAATCCTAGGTTATGCAATTTTCCAACCGTCTCTCAGCTAGGAAGGAGCAGATCCAGGATTAAAGCCCAGATGTGGCTGCCCTTGCAGCCTGTGTTTTAGTACACATGGGGGCATTTCAGAGCTCGACTCCTAAAATCAGGAAACAGTGCAGGGGGCCGAGACTAAGATGTGATATAAAATGGAAAAGCACAGACTTGCCTTCAGAGGCCCTCTGTCCATAACCTGGCCCTGCCACCTCCCGAGTATGAACTTACAAAGGGCTGGGACCTCTTAAGGCTTAGTTTACTGCTCTGTAAAATAGATGTAACCATCCATAATGAAAGGGCCATCAAAGGATAGTAGAAACCATGTGGTGAAAGTACTTCCTAAACTATATAGACCAACACAAATATTTTTTTGTATTTTGTGTACCGAAAGTTGCTCTGGGCTTAATGGGGGGAAGGGAAGCATAGAGACAGTGCATTTACTCAGTTATTTCCTAATCTTGGACAGACTGGGATCAGAGTAGGATTTCAATCAATCAGACCCAAGGAGGAGAGGGTCTCTATTCCACCGTACAGAGGCTTTGAGTTGTACCTTCCACCTTCGCATCTGTGGCTGCCACCGCAAGGTTTTGCATTTCCGTGCATTTCACAGTCGGTGCGTGCCATATTAAATTAATGAAGTGACCAGGCTTTTCTAATTCCCTTGGGAGTTCAAAAGTAAAGTAGGTTTCAAAATAAGGCAATATTTTCTCATTTTCAGCCCATTTCCCTCCCTTTTCAGTTTCATCTTTATTAATGATTTGGAAGGTGGAGGCAACAGCATGTAAATTCACTTAGTTCTGAATTTACAGTGTGATGTGACAGCTAAAAAGGCCAGGCTATTTTGAGGCACAATTGAGGAAGCTTTGTATTATGGGACTGAAGAGTGATTGTCTCTTTTTACAGGCCTCCAGAGAGAGGGCTCCTGGAATTCAGTATTCAATTTCTAGACACGTCTGAGCCAGAGAGATTTAGATCAACTGGAAGAGAGTCAGCAAAAATGATTTTAAAAAGTTAAAGAAAGCATATGTAGAACATTCTTACTCTCTTGCCTGTTCTTGTCCCATCAACCTTGTCACCTGGAAATAGGGACTAGATTGAGGTTGTTTTGTTGATTATCATGTCCCCTTGTCATTTGCTAAATTCCCAGTGTTGTAGACACTGATATTTAATGTGGATGGATTTTTTTTTTAACATTGACGTATTCTCCTACACTAATGATGTCTAATAAAATATACCACGTCAAACCAGGTTGAAAAAGCAAAGCCAGGCTGGAAAGTTTAAGAGAAGTGAAGCAAGGGGGCACGGGAGTTATTCATTGTGCCTAATTATTACTGAACCAATTCAAGCCACAAAGAGTAACCAAGTTTGTTGAGAATGAACTTGGCCTCAGGGCTCGGAAGCATTGGTGAAAACTTTTCCAGGTCCAGCTGTGGGGTGTGGCATATAGATAGGAGTGCAAACCAACAGCCAGTCCAACACGACTCACTTATCCATGTCTAGTACTTATTCTAGTTCCACTGTTTTCCAAAAGACCCAGATATTGGTCCAGTCATGGCAGAAACTATCTGTACAGTCTCAGAAAGGATGGGCAAGAGGCCGTCCTTCTCATATGTTTGAACAAAAACAAGCCTCGACACGCCCATCAGGGGAGTGGAGACGCTCAGACACAGCCTCTTACTCCCTCCTTCCTAAGCCAGGCCCTGGCTTTCTGAAGGGACGCACACACCTTTGGCTTGTTTCCCCAAAGATAGGAGTCACGCGAGTGAATGAACACGCGAGTCAATCGGGACCTGTTTGTTCTCTGCGTTAACCCTGAGCGCCGATGTTTTGCTTCCCCAGAGCCCTTCAGCGCCGACGTGTGGGTCATGATGTTCGTGATGTTACTCATCGTCTCCGCTGTGGCCGTCTTCGTCTTCGAGTACTTTAGCCCTGTGGGTTACAACAGGTGCCTCGCTGATGGCAGAGGTAAGGCCAGCTGTAACCGTTGCCTTTCTGCCTTTCTCTAGCTCTCAGCTCGGAATCTCTGTGCCCCTCATCTGCTGCCTGCCTCCGCCCTAACCCTCAGTCTTCAAGGTCACCACCTTGGTGACTCGTTAGAAAGACCCCTATTAAGGGGTTCTAATCAGTGCTATCGTTTTTCATTTTACCTTGGTGTTCAGAAAATATTAATTGCTAAATGTACAGTGACAATTGGGATTGCCATTGTTCTTTAACTTGAGAAGTAAGTAGAAGACTAATTCACAGGAAAGTAATATACCTTAAATATAGTGACGGAGGGCTTCCCTGGTGGCGCAGTGGTTGAGAGTCCGCCTGCCGATGCAGGGGGCGCGGGTTCGTGCCCCGGTCCGGGAAGATCCCACATGCCGCGGAGCGGCTGGGCCCGTGAGCCATGGCCGCTGAGCCTGCGCGTCCGGAGTCTGTGCTCCGCAGCGGGAGAGGACACAACAGTGAGAGGCCCGTGTACCACACACACACACACACACAAAAAAAAGAAATAATGTCTGTTAATATATTGGTATATATACTTCTAGTCTTTTAAGTTTTATGCACATGTAGCCATTCTATTAAGTAGCCCAAACTTAGTAGAGCAAGAATGTGAAAACTTTTATCTTTCTTCTATTATTACCTATCTTCGAGACTATGTGACTGAACCCCTTAACAAAAACTTGTGTAGATTCCAAAACTTTCTGATCATTTCCCATTATTAAAACAAATAAACAACAAGAAGCAAACACACACAAAGACCCCAATTTAGATGTTAGTTTGAATCTATATGTCCCCTCCCTGCCTCAAGCCTGACCCCAAGCCCAGTTCCACCCCTAAGCAAGTGAGATCAAAGCTGGCAGCAGAAACGTGTAACATAAACGTGTCAGAGGAAACTCTTGATAACCTTAGGCTACGAGCAGTCTGTCTGATCAGATGTGCTAACAAGGCAGATTAGACACATGTATCAAGAGTAAGAAAAAACAGGTTACCCCAGGGTACATGCAGGGTAGTTGGGGCTGAAACAGCTCTCACAGCCCAAGGATAGCCTCTGAGCTACAAGATCCCCAAAGCATGTGTCCCCGGCTTACATCTCTCTGCCAGGAGGTAGAGGAGTTGGGTATTGGAAATAAAATGGCTGGGAGATAACAATTCTCACCCACAGCTACTCTTGGGGGTGGTCCATCTTCCTGGCTAGGAAGGTCCAGAGATGTGAGGGCTACCCATGTGTTTGAGGCATTTATGAGACTTCACAAAAAGTTTACTAGATTTCTGAAGGGGACCAAGGGGTCCTTATAGATACCTCTTCTAAAACTTCCTGAGAGCACCAGGATTAGGAAATATCATGCCTTCTCTGCGTCTTCTCCCATCCACCATGTGAGCTCTATCCTGGAATTATGTGTCAAAGAGGAAAGATTCTTAACCCCAGCTACACATAAGAATTACCTACGGGGCACTTAAAAGACAAAGATGCATAGACCTCACATTCTAATATTCTGATTCACTAAGTCCAGAGCGGGACTTGAACCCTTGTATGTTTCAGAATAGTGGTTCTCTACCTTGGCTGCCTGTTACAATAACCACCGCACCTCACCCCAGTTTAGTAAGAATCTCTGGGGATGGTGTGTCAGTATTTTGTCAAAGCTCCCCTTGTGCTTCCGTTGAATTCACGTCCAGGCTATGAGCCACCCCTGCACTGAGGTATTTCCAGGTGTAGACCTACCTTCTCGTTTGGGGTGTGCCTTCTGGGGTGGACACTTGGATGCCTTCACAATGCGGAATAGTCAGAGGCTTCCTGCCTGTGCCAAAGGGTCATCCAAAAGCCGTGACTACTCCCCATCCCGGTGGGCATTAGTAACAAGTGAAAGGTCCGAGAAGCACGAGAGTACACACACATGGTGACAATGTCAAGAACCAAAGCTAGTGTTCACCCTCCCCGACCCCGCAAAGAAAATCAAAGAGGCAAAAATTCAGACACAAAAATCAGAGCCAGGGCTTACGATTACTCACTTTACCAAAGGATGCTTGACTTCGCCAAAGAATTCAACATGGGGCCGCTTTAACTATCAAGTCTCCTTGGGGCATTTTACAACGCACAGAACTTTGATTCATAAACAGTTTTTTAGTTATGCATCTGTTCCAAGAAATAAGGTCCACTCGCGCAGACATGTGTGCACAGTTAGAGCTTAGGCTCGACATGTGTAGTCACTGATGATTTAGGTGGCTGAGCAGATGCTCTCAGGATCACAGATAGCATCGAAACACCTGTGCTAATGTGCTGTAAAACTGTGCAGGCAGGTGTTCGTTTCTGCAGCGGAGGGGCTGCGTGCAGCCCCAGACAGCAGGCAAGATTTCACCATCGCCAAGCAGAGAAAGCAGAGAGGTCACAATAAATAGTGTGCAGAAGCCCTGCGTGATCTGTGTGAAGGTCGGGTGGAGGACAAAGGCAGCCTCCCTTTCCACCCTCAGATGCATGTGGCCAAGCCAGGGATCTCTGGCAGACCCTCTGGGCCGCCTGGTATTCTTTTACACGGAAGGCAGGCCCTGCTGGAGGGAACCAGATGGGAGGTGTTGGCACTGGAGTGAGGTCAAGGCTGCCTTCAAAACATTGAGTGCTAAGAGCTGGAAGCCACAGGAGAATCAGGATCAACTGCATTCAAAGCGGCATCCGTGAATGAAATTGGAGGAGATCTATGACTAGTGGGAGAAAAAGACCCCACTAGGTTCTTGCTGACCGTCCGGTATTTTTTTGTTTTTTTTTGTGGTACACGGGCCTCTCACTGTTGTGGCCTCTCCCGTTGCGGAGCACGGGCTCCGGACGCGCAGACTCAGCGGCCATGGCTCACGGGCCCAGCCGCTCCACGACATGTGGGATCTTCCCAGACCGGGGCACGAACCCACGTCCCCTGCATCGGCAGGCGGACTCCCAACCACTGCGCCACCAGGGAAGCCCTTGCTGACCTTCTTTGAAATTGAAATGCTTTCTCGGTAGATACAAATACAAATACAAATTTTGGGAACGTGGTAATGAGGATGCAAGTGTGACCACGGTGGGATGGTTGCCTTCGTTACTCAGTCTTGATGGGCTCTTAAGGGTCTTACATCCATCAGGGCAGGAAGCTGGCTCCTGTGGCGCCCTGGCTGAGTCATGATCATTGGTTGGAGTAAGAGCCCGCACACACCCCAGGCCTCTGGTTTTTCCTCTTCCACCTTCCTGTGGGTCCCAGGAGAAGAGAGACACAAGCTCTCAACTGAAAAAGCTGCCTAAGGGTAGCTTTAGGGCTGGGGCTTTGCTGGTGGGTTTCCTGCTCTGAGCAGGAACTTACCAGCTCTATGTACTTGTAAGTTGAAATAGAACCAGTGACTCTGTCTTAACCTTCTGTCCTTGTCTTTTTTGTCCTGCCAGAGCCGGGTGGCCCATCTTTCACCATCGGCAAAGCTATTTGGTTACTGTGGGGTCTGGTGTTTAACAACTCCGTCCCGGTGCAGAACCCAAAGGGGACCACCTCCAAGATCATGGTGTCGGTGTGGGCCTTCTTTGCTGTCATCTTCCTGGCCAGCTACACTGCCAACTTAGCTGCCTTCATGATCCAAGAGGAGTATGTGGACCAGGTTTCCGGCCTGAGTGACAAAAAGGTAGGAGCACCATTTGAAACCTCCCATCTTTCCCCCAGTCCCATTCTCAGCCATACTCGGAGCTCTCACGGACCTGTTAATATCCTAAACCTTTAGAATTGACCGTTCTTCCTTATGGCTCCTGAAATTGGGACACAGGAGCAGAATTCAGTTTCCCCACCGAAATAATATTACTGCACATTCGCCTTCTCGTTTGTGAAAGGTCGTCACCAGCGCGCCCTGGGCCGCAAATGAGGGGCCTGGTGTGTTAGCGGTTTTCTGAGTACAGGGTTCCTCTTGTCTGGGGCGCTCAGGAGGCCTGGCAGCAGCACCAGGCTGCACCTTTGGGCTGTTACTAGAGGGCACCCACGCTGAGGGTGCCGGCCTGTCACGGCCCTCGTTTTCCTCCCAGGGCTGTTCGCCTGCACGCTCCCCCTTTGTTCCTCTGCACGCTCGCGGGTTCCCAGGGTCGAGGAGAAGGATTGTTCTCATTGTGTCCTGAAGAAAGGTAGCTGCTACCTAACTGGATCGGGGGGTGCCGATGAATGGGTTGTCCCCATACCAACCGCAGGCCTCCCTGCTGGCCTGTGCCGCGAAGAGAGGAAGGGAAGTAAGTGTCTGCTGGTTGCCGTGTTTTCTGGGTGAGGATGTGTAAAACCCAGGCTCAGTACATGTGACTCTCTAGGTCTGCTGGAAGCAACACAGGTTCCGTGGGAGCTCTGGTCCAACCCCAGTCCTAGCGGCTACCTTCCTGGAGTGCCCAGGAGAGCCCCTGGATACCCCAAATCACTCTGGAGACTTTCACTTACAATGTCTCCTCTTCTCCGTTTCCTTAAGATTTAGAAAATGTGATTTCCCACCCCTTCCCGCAGGATGAAACTATGTGATATAGACGGATGTGTGTTTAGACCACATAGGTCATATGTAGTTCATGCTTTATCACGTGGGTCAGCTTCTCCCAAGACAAAACCTTAAACACTTAGCAGATGGTTTGAGAAGAATGAAAAGGAGGAGGTATTCTCTTTGGGGACTCAAGTTATGATTTCTCCATCTACTCTCACTACTCACCAAGGACATTCAAAAGCTTAAGGAAGATAAACAGCTTCTTAAGGGAATATATATATATATATATATATATATATATATACACACACACACACACACACACACATGGAACACTCATGTTCACCTCTTTAGGTTGGTTCTTTCTTTGGTTTGTCTTCCTTTTCACTTTATTTTTCTTCCTTACTTTTAAAAACGTTCCCTCTCTTCTGTTTCCTTCTCCCTTATCTTTAAGCTTTTTTCTTTTTTTACTTCTTTTTTTCTAACTCATGATTTATTACGCATTTCTTCAGATATTCATCCATCTATCCCTTCATTCACTTTAAACCTTTGTCTCTCTCCTTGTTCCTTTGTCAGCAGCCTTCCTTTACCATTCTGATCCTCTCAGAAACTTTGAGCTGGACCCCTCCCTTCATCCCTTTCTACAGCTACTTTTTGTGCCTATTTCTGTGACCTGGGCAGTCGTGGTACTGAGAGCAGCTGATCTCCCAGGGCTCCGTACTTGGATGTGGCGGAGCTGAGGTGGGCCACGGCCACCCTAAGACATGAATGTGGCAGAAGCGTGACAGACCGTGTCCCCCCGCGTGGATCTGTCAGGGGTACGGAGGACCATATCCTCACATCAGGGAACGGCAGAGGTGTGCCGGATTATGTCCCCGTGCAGAGTGTGGTGGGACCGTGTCACCACGCAGTAAATAACATGGTCGAAGGGTGGTGGGCCACAGCCCTTCCGGGGACTCTGGGCTGTTAAGTAGGGGATCCACCACCATTATCACAGTGTTTTCTTTCGTTTCCTCTGAGAATTGGTTAGGACGCTGTATTTATGTTTCTCATCCTCTCAAGGGCCATCCGGCAACAACTGAATGATTTTCTACTTGAACTAAGCATAATTGAGATGGAGGGAGATTGTTTTCCCTTCTGTGGTTTGGAAAGAACATATTGTTCTGGGCTGCTTGAACAGAGAGGCTCTGCCCCTGTCTGTCCTCCACACCACGTTGGTTATGTTCTGAGAAGTTGGATCCCATCTTTGCTTAAAGAACTTGACTGGCTCCATTGCTTACAGAATAAAGACAACTCTTTTCAGGCGTGGCGCTCAGAGCTTTTACAAGTGATTCCCAGGGTGCACCAGCAACTCCGTCTCATCAGCCAATGCGCAGACTCTTGCATCCTATGTCCTAGGCATCCTTGCCTCCTTCCCAGCGACACCTCTCAGCATCTGCCTGGGGTGTTCTTCTCCTTACTTCTTCACTCACCAAACTCCTACTGAAATTGCAAGACACAGATCAGAGATCCCTTTATTTGTAAAGCCTTCTCATCTGGGCTCATCTGGGAAGTTAGCCATTGTCTCCTCTGTCGTGGCAATCATTCATACCTTTATTATAGCACTTGTCTCCCACATTGTAACCTACAGACGTGTACCTGTCCATATCTCCCCTTATTTGACCATGAGCTTCACAGGGTCAGTGACCATAACTTGCTTATCATTTTTACAGAAAGTCTGTAGGGAGAGAGGGAGAGATGGTGTACTAATTTAAGAGTCTCTTGCACAGAGCAGTGGACTAAGCATTACAGGCAAAGAAAGCAGCAAGAGAGCAAGAAGCCTTTAACAGCTGTTCAGTTTGAAAATGATTATCTGATCCATTTCAGAACTCTGCAAATGACAAAATAGCATCTGTCCAGAAAGTGTCAACATAATTTACAGAAGTATAGAAAACATTTAAGTAACCAATGACATACAACTGCAGATCAGTGTCAGGAACAGTATTATAAGTCAGAGAGTTTTCTGAAAGTGCACTTAAAATGTCAAAATTCTTATCCATTTGACTTCAAAACACCTAAAGGAAACTAAGTCTTGAGAATGACTTACATGAGAGGAAGTATATTCTGTGAATTTAGCAAAAGAAAATAATAAAGTCTTCAAAACGATAACATTGAGAACAGAAATGAGGTGATTTTGAAGACTCTCTTTTCAGTGTCATGAAATTTTCATCAAGGAAGGTAACATTTAAAGTGGAGAAGGGTTTCTATACTTGTTTAGACTATCACGGATGACATATCTTCTATGTAACTCAGACCAAATGATAAATATTTTGGAGTGATGATGGGGAGATATTTGTAGTCATTAGATTTAGATATTTTAAGAAATTGTCTTCAATTTTATGGCAGGAAATTGTTCCCAGATCTCATTTATGTTAAGGTACAAAGTCAGAACGTTCAGAGTTAAATTTCCATGAACTCCTATTTGGGGGCTCCTTTTTTATTGGATGGCTTCCATCTTGCAATAGCACATTACATCATTGAATTCAGAATTATTCCACTACATGCTATAACTAAATATGGGTGCAAGTGCTAACATTTAGCAGCCCTACTGTACATTCCATCAGCTCTCCCAGTGGGAGGAGGATATAAGGAAGCTGGTGACATCTTTCTTCTCTTAACAAAGAGCCCACAGTGCTCATTCTCATATTCTCAGCTATCCAGATGGATTTCTCATTTCGCAGTTGGCCAACCACAGTATGGAGGAGAGTTTGGCCAGGCGAACAGGAGACATATTTTCCGGGCACTGGATACATTAAGTATTTACATATATGTTATATGAATAATCTTCATCAGGTATGACTATTCCCATTTTACAAATAAGGGCACTGAGACTCTGGGAACTTTCATGATTCCCTAAAGTCATACATTATCAAGTGACAGAGCCAGGGTTTGAGTTCCTGTGTGTTTGGCTTTAAAAGTCATTTTGCCAGGATGTCTCCCTTGTAGTGAATCCCAGACAAAGTTATGACACAGCTAAGGATTGGTATTGACACCTCTGCACCCCACCCACTTCCTCATTGAATCTCCTACCCTCTCATTCAATGACCTTCAGTTTTGGTTCCACTTAACCTAACCCTTCTCAGGTCGCCATACACTACCACTGCCAAGACTGCTATTACTACCCCTACTACTAGGACTGATAATAATAATAGCAATTATCATTATTATTAATATGACTTCAACACTGATATCTCTGCAAACATTTTTTTCAGCTCTCGGGAGCCAGGCGTAATGCCAAATACATTACATAGATTTCTTATGTAATGGTGCTTTTATAATCATACCTTCATTTGTAGATGAGGAACTTGAAGCTTGGAGAGGTTAAGTCATTTGCCCTTCTGATGTTCCTGGCTGGCCAACAGCCCCTCAGCCGTGTGCCACCGTGTTCAGATTCCAGTGTTCTTTCCAGTTAATCTCTTTCTTCCTGACCTTCCCATCTACCTTCCCGAAGCTTAGCAAGTGGGGTCCTTTCCCCCTATTAAAGAGGAGCTATCTGATTAACTGATCCAAAATAATTAGATGGTATTTTAACATTTGCCCCTTATTTAATAAGTCTTTCAGAGGCATTGCTTTGAACAGAGAATGGTGGTGCTTTCGTGGACCTGGGCAGGCTAATGGCCCACAAATGGACTTTAGCCTGGGCCTATTGTGACCGTGAGCTTTAAGCCACTGTTGGAGGGTGGCAGAGGGGTGGCAGCAGGACAGAGAAGCGTCAGTGGTAGGTTCAGGGGGTGAAGGAAGCCTGCAGGGAGGCAGAGGCTGCCGAGGTCACCAGGGGCTGCCGTCAGGCCAGGGGGCTCCCGACGCTGCGTCCTACCTTACACATTCCTGCCACCAGTGTGACATACGCCCGCATTGTATTTTGCTGTTCTTTTCCTCAAGGAACTATGGGAACTTTATGAACTTTAAATGTCAAAAGGTGTTTATCTGGTTAAGGAGGGCAGACATCTTCGCCTGCAACATTGAAGGTGCAATCAGGATAGCCTTCTAAAAACTAAGGAAGAAGCCCGTGGCTTTTCTAGATGATGATTATTCTGAGTTTCTGAGAAGTTCCATAGAGTCTGGAAGCTGTCTCGTGTCCTTCTGGCAGATAGGCAGTGTATGACTTTTTAAATCAGCACGCAAACAAACGTGTCCGT